TAAACTCGCCGAGGAGCGACGACGAAGAAAGGGTGGAAACTCGCCGTTGATTACGCCGGCGAATCAATGGAAAACGAAGCGATTCAAGAGGAGCTTCAGAGTTTAGAGCTCGAGCTTAAGGATGTTCAAGGTTACATTTCTTCGTTTTGACTCGTTTCTATTTTGTTGTTCTTCGAATTTGTGTGTGTTCGGTTTCTCAAGTATAAACCAAATCGTTCAAATTCTCCATCGCTGTAATACGAATTTTCGTAGCTTTAAGAAGTTGATTTTTAGTTTTGAATTTCGTGTTGATGGAAAATCCGTTTCTCCAGGGCAAATAAGTGCTTTGATCGAGCATCAAGACAGATTGTACGAGAGGAAATCTGAGTTAAAGACATTGTTGAAAGCATTAGCAGCTTCAGGAAGTCCTGTTGCATCTGGTGGCTCTAGTAATGCTATAGAGAATTGGTGTGGGACATTCGAGTGGGATTCTCGTGCTGATGATGTTAGGTTTAACGTTTTCGGTATATCCAAGTATAGGTCAAACCAGAAGGATGTAAGTTTCTTCTTGATTCTTTTTTTGATTCAAAATGCTATCAGTTTCAAGGATGGCACAAGTTGGATTCTTGGTTCTTTGTTTGAAGAAATTTGTTTGATGTTGAATACTTTTCGTTGGATGATAGATAATTAACGCGATCATGTCGGGAAGAGATGTCTTGGTGATCATGGCTGCAGGTGGTGGGAAGAGTCTTTGTTATCAACTTCCGGCTATACTTCGCGGTGGTACAACTCTTGTTGTTAGTCCTTTGCTTTCACTGATTCAGGATCAGGTTTGTACAAACTTAATAAAGTAGTATGTAGGGATCACCAAACATCTAAATTTACAGAATTATCATCTTAAAATTAGATCTTTGTATATGCCTTGATTAGATGTGTGTTAAGTTTAAATTATTCTTTACGATTGTTCAGGTTATGGGTTTAGCTGCTCTAGGGATTTCAGCTTTCATGCTAACTTCTACTTCTGGCAAGGAAAATGAGAAATTTGTGTACAAGGCACTAGAAAAGGGTGAAGATGAGCTCAAGATACTTTATGTAACACCAGAAAAAGTATCAAAGAGCAAAAGATTCATGTCAAAGCTTGAAAAGTGTCACCATGCCGGTCGACTCTCTCTTATTGCAATCGATGTAATTCTGTCCTGGTTTTAGTCTCTTACCAGCAACCTATCTTCTCGCTTTTTGGCTTTAATATATTTTGGACATAACCCCACGGTTAAGAAAAAAAACTTTTTTTATTAATGTTCAATTCTCTATGTTTGGTTCCTTTGCAGGAGGCTCATTGTTGTAGTCAGTGGGGTCATGATTTTCGCCCTGATTACAAAAACTTAAGCATTCTGAAAACCCAGTTTCCCAAAGTTCCCATGGTGGCCTTAACTGTATGTTTTTTTTTCATTTGCTTCATACTTTCTTTATCCACTTTTTTGTGTTCAATATCGGATACTCTGCAAGCAAATCAGTAAACACTAGGGATTTTTCTCCACCTTACCTTGCTTATCAAAATGGCCAAATTTATTCTAAGTTCAGTGGGTGTAGATGTCAAGTATTGTTACAGCCTTCCGAAATTTTTGTGAAAGTTGAATATTTTATTTTCCTAATTCTTCATCTCTCTCTATAACAGGCAACTGCTACACAGAAGGTCCAAAATGATCTGATAGAGATGCTGCATATTCCTAAATGCGTCAAATTTGTTAGCAGTGTTAACAGGCCAAATCTCGTTTACTCGGTACTGTTAGTAATGAATTTTATTAATATACGATTCCCAACTGTGGATAGTTTGTAGGCGTGGACGTGAGCAATAAATTATTTTGTAGGTGCGGGAAAAGTCGGCAGTTGGTAAAGTGGTGGTTGATGAAATCGCAGAATTCATACGGGAATCGTATTCTAACAATGAATCTGGAATAGTCTATTGTTTCTCTCGGAAGGAGTGTGAACAGGTTTGTTACTGAAATTCGCACATCATCATATTTACTGAAATTACCATCCTAGTCTTCTTTACCACACTTCATTTCTGACCATTGACATTGTTCTATTGAACCTTGGATGGAAGAAAATCTTTTATATTTTCCTCACACGCAATGGTGATAGATTGCAGGTGATTTACGAGACAGAGGGATTTCTGCTGATTATTATCATGCAGACATGGATGTAAATATGCGCGAAAAAGTTCACATGCGGTAAGTTAATATTACTTTAAAACGAGTGGTACCTAGTGCTTACCTTGGACCAGAGATTCAGGGTCCAGCTGTGCTCTGGATGATGCAGTTAGTGATATGAAATTTGCAGCATTGTCTGAATTTGTTGTTGTTTCATGTTCACAGATGGAGCAAGAACAAGTTGCAAGTCATTGTTGGAACAGTATGTATATTGCCCGTTTATCATTTCATTAATTTTTGGCACAGTGACCTACATTAATCACCTTTGGTTATTGATATATAGGTTGCTTTTGGCATGGGAATCAACAAGCCTGATGGTTAATATTGCTAACTTTTGTACCAATAGCTATTGATTTCTAAGAACAGTGGTTTTAAAAACCCAAGGAAATAGCAGCACCCTGTTTCTGTAATGATAATCCATTTTAGTAATCATCGTTCTTATTATCGTTGTAGTCAGGTTTGTCATCCACCACAGTTTAAGCAAATCAATGGAGACTTACTACCAGGTTCCAATCTTTTTTCCATTAATACTCATGTAGTTATGAGCTTGCCTCTGCCTCTTATCACCTAACCATCATAACGCAGGAGAGCGGCCGTGCTGGTCGTGATGGCCTCCCATCTGAGTGTGTCCTCTTTTTCCGTTCGGCTGATGTTCCCAGGCAGGTAAGCTGCAATTTGACGGGCCTTGCTTATTTATGCTATACATGTATATCTCTAAAATTTCATTGATGCCATTCTTTCCCCCCCAACAGAGTTCCATGGTCTTCTACGAGTATTCTGGTCTGCAGAACCTCTATGATATAGTACGATATTGTCAGGTACACTGTTTCATCTCCTTTTTCCTGAAAAGCGCATTATCGTATTACACCTGTAAATATCTGGAGCAAACTGTGGCAATCAGCATCTTGTATTGGCAAAGTACTTACTTCCAGGAGAGTAGTGTACCTTGCTCAGCCCGCTTTAGAGTGACTAAATTGTTTTCTTTTGTTTACTCTTGTATGTTGTCTAGTATTAGGGGTCATGATCTTCAAATATTCTAAATTGTACGCTATTTTCTGAACCATAGTTTTTTAATTTACTTATTGCAGTCGAAAACAAAATGTCGCCGAAGCGCCTTTTTTCGTCATTTTGGGGAGCCATCACAAGATTGCAATGGTATTCTTGTTTACAGTCGTCCACTACTGATAGAATTTGTCTCCGTCCATTGGTTTGGTGTCCAGTGTGCTGATTGTTATTCTATAATCCGTTAGGTATGTGTGACAACTGTGCATTGTCCAGTGAGGTCAAGGAAGTTGATGTGTCAGGTATCTTCCACCTACATTCGGTTGTTTCCGTGAAGTACATTCTTGTATTACTCCGAATGAGTTTTTCGGTGTCATGACTTTTGGCAGACCTGGCTAAGCTCGTGGTTTCTATGGTGCAAGAAATGCAAGCCAAGGATCAAAGAGTGACAATGTTACAACTGGGTGACAAACTCAGAAATAAGCACAAGGATCTAAGTTAGTAACGGTCTATTATCATTAATTTGAACTTTGAACTGCAGAAAGTTTACAAAGCCTCAAAATCTTGTGACATGATATTTTTTGTTGTTGTTGACGTTACCTCCGTTGTTAATCCTAGGCGCTGAGCTAAAGAGGGAAGAGGTTGAATATCTCGTGATTAAACTGATTGTTGACTCGGTATTGGTAAGATCATTGTCCATGTTTATAATTCTCAAGATCATTATCTCGTGATTAAACCGTAGAATCTCTTTGTATGATTGTGTCATTAGTTTCTTCATGCTGTATTATACTTTTTATGTTTTTAATTGCAGAAAGAAGAATTCCAGCACACACCATACTCGACAAACGCTTATGTAACAATGGGACCTTTAGCAAACCAATTGTTGCAAGGTAAAGTTAATCTCACGCTCACATTGAACAGTATAAGTTTCAGGATCTGCAAATGACCATTTTCTCGGTTTGAATGGCCACCCACGTAGACGTAGTCTGAATATATTGAAGTCATAGACATGCAGATATATTTAGAAGCATCATGTATGGTTTTAGTTTAGTATAGATAGAACATGAAGTTCAACAAATTTTTTTTTTTTAAATATGTATTAATCTTTTGGCCATTGCTTGGCTTTTGCTAGCTTGTGCATCATTCTCTACCGTTCATCGACACAACTGATAACAAAACCAGTACTTGATTTGTGGAACAGGAAGAAAGAAGATAAAAATGGAAAACTCAAGCAAACAAATCAAGAAATCAAAGAGAAGTATTTCATTTTCCGGGTTGGAACTGAAGCTTGACGAGCTACGGAAGGAGATATCCGCAGCTCATGGAAGCATACTCCCTCACACGGTCCTTTCAACCCAGCAGATTGGCTTGATAAGCTCCCAAGAACCCGATTCGTTACAAAAGGCGAGTTTACCTCAATGAAATTTCGGATTTTAAAATAGTTTAATTACTTCCCTTTTAAAGCTTTATTGGTTGGATTATGCAGTTGGAGAGTATTATAGGAAAGCTGAAAACAGAGAAGTACGGAGAGCGGATTCTTGAACAAGTGAAGAGACACGATTTAGTCTCTGCACTACTTGTTGAAGATTCAACACAGGAAGAGACAACAGGTAAAAGCAGATCAAGTAAGAGAGCTAAGACACAAAAAGATCTTGTTTTGGTAGAAAGCAGCGAAGAAGAAGAATTTTGATGAATCAAATCATTTTAACGCAGACACTACCTTGATTTTATATTATAATTTAATCGAGTTACATGAAATGGGTTCTTGATCATACAAATGATTCTGTTTCCTTAAGTGTTTTTCTTTAATTAGGAGTGAAGCTTTGCCCTAAAGCCTTGAACCCAAATCGAAACAATGTCCTTTAGTTTCTCCACAAGGCCAGGTTCTTGGCTTTGCTTCTTTACACTATCAATCAGAAGCCGGTACTCCAGTAGCGTAGCTTCTGGTAAAGGTTCCAAGAACTCGCATTTAGACAAGATATCTGGATGAGGAACACCGGAGACGAGGTTTGTGTCAAGTTTTGTTCTGTCCTTCTTTGTTTCTTCGGGCTCGCTAACCAGAAGACCCTCAAGAGCTGAAGGAGATGCACCGGGAATTACTTCCCGTGTGAATGGTAACGATCTTGCGGGCTGCAAGCAGAATTCTATCCACTGTTGGATTAATGGGGATGGGCCTCGCACTCTTCCTCCTATCTGTTCTGCTTCTTTACAAGCAACAGAGACAGCCGGAATTGCCTTTAGGAACAATGATGCTTCACGGGTTAGCGTCCATATATGTTATAGGCATTTGAAATTTCAGAGGAAGCAGTAAGGAACTCACGAAAATGCTTACCCATAGATCAGCCCATAAGGTGGCACCAGACTTTGGAACAATTACTGTAACATTAGACATACGTTTTGCGACAGGGATAACATCGCTGCTCCAACCGACAGTAACCCAGACATCTCCGACATTGAAAGCTTTTAAATAGTTGGTACTGTCAAACAGTTTAATCTGTGAGCACAAGGGCAAAACAAAAATGATCAGATAGTCATTTTTTTTGTTGAAGCATAGAGTTTCTGTGGAACATGTCAAACTAAACTCGTGCTCTGTTTATTGTATGA